CTTCATCCACAGGCATTTATGCAATTAATCAAATAAGCAAGTAGTCTCATGGCAAGTATGCTATTATGGCAACACTCACACTCATGCAAGGATGCTAAAGCATAAACACTTACAGTGTACTCCGAGTGAAAACAAAACCTAGTTAGAAATATGCATGATCCTAACTATACAAAGATGTCTAATGCAACACATGCAATATGCAACTAAGTAGGCTCGGCTATCTAAGATGGCATATGAATGCAACAATTTTGATAACATGTATTCAAAGAAGTATTGAAATATGATGCAATTTGAATGATGCGCCGAACCCGGTGCATGCAATACAAATAAATGATGCAAACATGCAAGCATAAGTTATGCTAATCAAAACGTGCTCTAATCTAACCACCGAAAGTGAGTAAATAAAAGGGAGAAAAACGTGGGGTTGGAACACATTCACACACATATGCACGATTATTGCAATATCGTGCCCTTTCGATGGAGGGTCCGAATATATGGGAGCTAACTAGCTACGCTAATTAAGCTAACTATTACAAACCACAACTAATTAACTACTCTAGCTAATTAATTATTACATACCGAATTGAATAACTAGCTAATCTAAGCTAATTAAAATATTACAAAGCAAATTGAATGATTAATTACAACACATGCAATAACCAACTACAACTAGCTAGTAAAGCAATGAAAATGGCCTCGCGAGCGAGGGAGACATGCATGCTCGGTTGCTTCCTCCCGAAAATCCACCACCTTGCCTCATAGATGCCTCTGTTTGCACTCTTTTGGACCTCTAAAAGTTATGCCAACTTCCAGAATGATTCTGTCTGATCTCCAGAATATGCTGAAGGCTGATCAGCTAGAAATGGTGGTCATCGGCCAACATTGATGGCCGGTCGACTGTTTTGATGGCCGGTCAACTGTTTTGATGGCCGGTCGGCCATTGTTTCCCTAAAATTTTTCCTTTTGCTGCAACAGAGAGAAAATAGTGGCATGGTAGTGTATTTGCAAGGAATTGTATGTACTTCCATCCTCTTTATCATATCCCAAGCTCAAAGGAGTATGGCACTCGGTTCTCAAGCCATCAATCAAGCATCTCAATGCATGATGGCCAAGGAACCAAGCTTGTACAAATTCAATAAATGCACAAATAAGACTCTAAAAGCCTCCACCTTATCATGCATGATTAAGGGCGTCGGCGACCAAGAAATGTGACACGTTTCATCACTATGAGTATGAAATGTCTCACATTTCTTGTGTTTGGATTAACGTCCGATCCAAGCACATGCAATGCAAACAACAAGCTTATCTTAATCATGTTTTACTTGGCTCGATTTTGTTTACACATTGTAGTATTACCAAACCATTCTTTATTTGGTTAAGTCCAATGTGAAAGTCCTCTAATGAGAGGGATTATGCCTTTAACTAAGAGGAACCCTCGAAAGAGGGTTAAAGCCATTTGAGCACAAACCCTACCTCATGCTTAAACACAACCTTAAGGCCAAACAACCCTCAAAACAAATTGAAAAATGAAGAAATATGAGAGGTTGCAAATGTTTTTAGTGCTGAAATGGCATGACAAATAAGACTATAACATGCAAACAACTCATGTACAACATGTTAAGAGCAAAAAACGTTGAAGCTCGTGAAGGACACACACACTCTAGAGGCATGCAATACAACGCACAAATGATCAAACCAACTAAAAAAAGAGCTATATTATGCCAAAACAGTGGCCTAAACATGCTCAAACTTAGGCCTAAAGAGCAAGAAAAACATGCTCGCATATTGGCTCATGAATAAGCCACAAAGCACAACTCTCAAAAGCATTGAAAGAGTGGAATATGTGATAGCATGACAGAGGTATACGCTCTGAAATCACATACGAAATGATGCTATGGCATGCAAATAACTCAAGCAAAGCATGCTAGAGGCCTTAAATCATCAAGCTAGTGAAGCCAATCACACTATAGCCAAACAAGGCAAGCCTCAAAGGGCCAAGACAACTCAAAATAGAGTAAAAGCATGCTAAATCAGTAGCAAGAATGTACTGGAGTTAAGCCAAAACAAGCTAGATCAATAGGCTAAATCATGAGTCATGCTAGGCTAGTAAGCAAGATTACACTACAAGTGTAAGAAGCAATCAAGAAGTGACCCAACCAGCCAAAAACAGAGTTCAATCAAGTTAAAATAGAGGCTAAAACATGCTTGAACTAAGCTTCAAAAAGGAAGAAATACATGCTCACTTGGTAGGCCAACTACACATGCAAACAAGACATGAGGAGAGGGGACCACCCCCTCCCATTTTAGACCTCAAAATCACCTTTCCACCACTGAAATTCTCCTAGATTTCAGTGTTTAAAAGGGCAAAAAAAGAATTGCTTTAATGGGTTTAAAAGATGGTACAAAGCTTAGCAAATAAGCCACAAAAGAGGGTAGACCACCCCTAACTCCAAAAGGGCCTCAAACTATCATTTTTAACACTTAAAAATAGAGGTTTTCGTAGTTTAAAAGTAGGCCTAAAACAACATATAAAGGTGGCCAAACAAGCAACTAAAACAAAGCTTTAAAGAGGATAAGGCTTTACCCTTGATGCACAACAACAAACAGCGCAACTTCTGAGCCAAAACCAAGTTTAGAAGCTCCAAACAAGCCTTAAGGAACCTCAGCTCCAAGGTAGGGATATTTGATCAAGGGGTTGTATGCAAAATTGTAGAGAAAACTCACTTTCAAACACAATAGAGAGAGAGAGAGAGAGAGAGAGAGAGAGAAATTTCAGCTCTAAAATTTTGGTAACCCCCAAAAATGGGGAGAGGCCTCCCCTTATATAGAAAAACAAGTTACAAGCTTGTTTGAATCGCTCCATACACGTGTATGGAGGATATAACCAGTGACCAACAGCTGGCACAAAAAATATCTGAAAAAGGAGAAAAATGGCCATCGGCTATCATTAATGGCCGACCGATCATCAGTGTAACCGATCGGCCAACACTGATGGCCGATGAGCATAAACTCTGGCCGATGGGTTGTAGGGCTGGCCGATAGGCCACCCTCTTCTCCAAGCTAGAAGAGACAAGGTCTTGGTCCACAACCAAGCACAAAACAAACAAGTTTCAAAGGCTCAAAGGCGAGGCACTCCGCCAAGAACCTCGAGCGTTCAAACGATGACATCCAAGTCTTAAGGATAATAAAAAATGGGATGCCTACATCCGCAAGGTTTAGCTAAATTACAGATACCTCTAAAGTTTGAGAAATTACAAATTCTCCTGAAGATTATATTTACATAACAAATTAGAAAATAATTTATTATAAAAATATAAATCTCAATAGACAGAATGTATTTTTCAAAACTTCAAGAGATATTTATAATTTAGATAAATCTCCATAGAGGGATATGTAATTTATCAAAAAAAAAAAAAATTGTGATGACTGACGATAAGGTCTTGCTTAGCAGCAAACACCATGATTCTATCTGAAGTCTGAAATCATGACTCCATAGGACCAAAGGCCACCTTGCTTTGCTCGTAAGTGGATTTTACTGTATGCTTATTTTAATATATTAACTAGGACCCACTTATGACGACATTAATCACCAAAAAAAAAAAATTCTCTCTCTCTCTCTCTCTCTCTCTAAAAAACCAGAACCGTTCTCTCTATAAATAACACCTGAAAACCCATCCTTGCATTCTCAATCAATCCACTTCCCCACCACCTCTTTCTTCCGCATACATCATTCTCTCTCTCTTGAGCAACATTTTTTGAATCTAAAAAGCAAGGGAAAATGATGAGTACAGAGATGGTTTCTGAGGCACCAATGGTGTCGGCAGTACAGCGGTCGCCGTGGCACTCACTGGTACCGTACCTGTTCGGGGGGCTGGCGGCGATGCTGGGTCTCATTGCTTTCGCCCTTCTCATCCTCGCTTGCTCCTACTGGAAGCTCTCAGGCTACCTCGACCGCGACAACGACGACGCCAACTCCGACGACAGAGACGTCGAGCTCGGCGCCGATGCCGATTCCGGGGAGAAACCTAAATTGGCGCCGCTCTTTGAAGAGAAATATCTGGTGATAATGGCCGGACAAGCCAAGCCAACGTTCTTGGCCACACCCATCTCCAGCAGAGCTTCCTCTTTCGGAAGCAACAGTTCTGCTTCTCAAATGCCCGATAATAAATCGGACAGTGGTGATCGGACCGACGACCCCAAAGACAATCAGAGTCAAGAAGATCAGACAGAGAACGCCGTGGAGACTCATGAGACCTCACATCAGGTCCCTTGATTTTATTTTATTTGTTGCTTCCTTTTTTGATTGTTTCTTCACTTCACGAGGGAGTGAAAATTCCGGAAATGTAAATACTTTTGGAGCGGAGGATCAACGAATGAATGAATGAAATGGATGAGTTGAGCTGTTTTTAACTTAGATTTCCAGAATAATTTTGGGACATTCTAATCTAATAGGAGTACTCAAATTTAGAAATGGTTTAGAATGATATAAACCACTATATTTTTTTAATTTTTATGAAAATATATATAGAAAAATAAAAAGATAATGTGACTCCAATTTTTTTTAAAAAAATATGCTTATATCTAATATGCCAAACAAATTCTTAACATGTAATTAGTTGATATACTCTGGGATTGTTTGGGGTGTTTTAAATAAGTGTATTTTTTGTCTTTTCAGACTAAAAAATTGAGGTTGAAAATATGGATATTTGTGTTAACTTTTTGACTTTTTATGAAAAAATATGTAATAAAAAATTATAAAAATTGATTTGTAGAGAAAAATTCAAATTGAAAGTTGTGCAGTCGTAATTGTTGACTTTTGATGGATAGTGTTAACTCTTTAACTTTTTGACTTTTTTACGAGTTCAAAAACTTGGCCTAAGCTTATCATTGTTATTTTAATATTTTCAAAAATAATAATAATGATGATTCATTATGTTTAGTTTCTATTTTCTAAACTCATTTTTTTTAAAATTTAGAATTTTTGTTTGGTTATTTTTAAAACCGGACAAAGTTTTTTAAAAATTAATATGGCAGTATTTTTTTGATGTGATAATTTTTTTTAAAATTGTCTTTCCTTAAATTGAAGAAAAGCTTAAATTTACAATAATGCAATTTTTTTTAAAAACCAAACAAACATCCTTTCTTAAAAAAAAATTTCAAATCACGTGAAAAAATAATAAATGAACCAAACATGAACAGTGTATTTAGTGATTGGTAATACAATCCAAATGGTCACTAAGTGATGAGTGAGAGATGGAAATGACAAGTACGAGGCATTCTTACATGGGTTTTTGTTTGGCCAATTGCGATTCGGACCACTAATTAACGAGCTCTAAACATAGCTCTACTTACGTGGCAGCTAACAAGAGATGTAAAACCACACCTTTATATTTACAGTGCGTGTATTTCATGCATTGAAAAAAAAAAAAGAAGGGCAGATGTAAAACCACACCTCCGTCGCCGTCTTCTTCTCTCCATCTGAAAACATTTGTAGATTTGTACCAAGAGCAATATACAGAACAGAGAGAGAGAGAGAGAGAAAGAGAGGCAGATTCTTTCTTTTTGTAAGCCAATTGTAATTTCTTCTAACCAACAAAACGCACAGAAGATAGAGATAAATATATATATATATATATAGAGAGAGAGAGAGAGGAAGAAGAAGAAGAAGAAAAAGAAGAAGAATGGACAGAGAGAGTGAAATAAAGCAATCCAAGTTCGAGAGGGTTTGTGTCTTCTGTGGGAGTAGCTAGGGGAAGAAAAATAGCTACCAAGATGCTGATATTGAGTTTGGTAAGGAATTGGTATATTATTTCTTTCATGCCATTAATGCCTCGGTTTCTTTCATGGGGGTTTTATGGTGTTCTTTCTTTGGGACCTTTCTTCGCTTGGGTTGTTGACAAATGTTGTTTTGTCTCATGGATTTTGTTTGAAATGTGTTTCTCAAACTTTTTGTCTATTGGATTTGATGTGGGTTTCTCTTGAAATCATGTAAATCAGTTTGTAAATTGGTTCATAGGTCTTTTTTTATTTAGAAATTTTGATTGATACCTTCAAATGGGACATTTTTTGTGCTACTTTGGAAGTTTTCAAGCAAAACCCTTCATGTTAATCAATGTTTTCAACTCTGTTTCTAAACACAACTCTGTGTGTGTGTGTGTGTGTGTGCCTATTTCTTTTTAACAAAGCTCTCTCACTCTCTTAGTTGTGATATGTCGACGCCGACCTCGGTTGGAGACAGTTGGGGTTTGAATCAGCTCTGGCCTCTCATTGGGGAGTTAGAGGTCGATGATAGAGAGAATCGTGAATAGAGAGATCGATTGTTGATCGACAGACAGAGAGAGAGTCGATCTTCATCGAATAGAGAGAGAAATGGAAAAGAGAATGAATGAGCGAATAGAGAGAGAAAGAGAGAGAAAATGACGAGTTAGCAACAGTGGGCGCAATAGGCGCCATGTCATTAGTGCTTGCTCTAATGCTTCGAAGCATTTTTGTTTGTTTGGCTGTGTTGAATATCTTATACGGCAACTAGAGAATTTGTAAAGCTGAGGTAGCAGCGCAATGACACCTAGTCTAGGTACGTTGTTAGTATTATGGAACTATTCTATTATTCATGTCATTTTTCGTTTACATATGTACTACTCTCATGTTAATTCTCTGTAACATTCAATGATAAGAATGTTTTACTATTTTAAACATTTAGGGGTTATTTAGGGTGTCCTAAATAAGTGTATATTTTGACTTTTTGGACTAAAAAGTTGAGGAAAAAAATTATGGTTATTGAGTTAACTTTTTGACTTTTTATGAAAAAATGTATATTAAAAAGTTGTATAAATTAATGTGTAGGAGAAGATTTATTTTTTGGGTTGCACGGCTGTCCTTCATGCGCAAGTTGAATAGATGGTAAAAGTAATTGTCTACTTTTCAGGCATTTCACTGGACAGTGCTTTTCAGCTGGTGGGGGCCATTACGGGTCCTGTTTTAATAATCTAAATCGTTCAATGTGTAGCACTCGTCGAGTACTATATGTCTATAAAAAATCATATTGATTGGATATCGATAGCTATCTAATCAGAATTATTTTTTTCAACCGTTAACTACAACACCATTTTTTTTATACAAAACTGATTTGATCATGTAGTTATCGATATCTGATCAACATGGTTTTTTATAGATATATAGTATTCGATGATTTTTACACATTAAACGGTTCAGATTATCAAAACGGGACCTGTGATAGGCCCCCACAGGCCGAACAACAGTGTGTTAAAATTGCACCCGAACTGTGCAATTTTCCTTTCGAACCGCAGCATAGATCTGACTTATTGTGATTGATAAGTTGTATTTTTGTGTGTAAAATAAATTTTTTAATATTTTTGTTTGGTGAATAGTGATAACTTTTTAACTTTTTGAGTAATTTTTTGATTTTTTGTTTTTTTTGAGACATGCCAAACTTGACCTTAGTCCCTAAGACTCTTATATCTTGCATTCTTTCATAAATGGTTAAAATAAGTTTTGGAAAAAAATTGTGATTTTTTTTAAATAATGAAGAAAAAAAATACTCCATATCAAGTTTTTTAACTTTTTTTCTCCCTTCTACTTTGGATAAATTGAAGGAAAAGGATGAATCAAACTATCGAGTTGTTAATAACATGACTGACTCAGTGATTAATTGTATATATATATATATATTTTATGGGTTTTAATTGTATATATAACTGTCTATTTTTACATGTATTTCTATAAATAATTATGGGTGAATTCACTCTCTCAGTTGTGATGTGTCGGCGCCGATCTCGGTTGGAGACAGTTGGGGGTTTGAATCAGCTCTGGCCTCTCATTGGGGAGTTAGGGGTCGAAGACAGAGAGAATCGTGAATAGAGAGATCGATTGTTGATCGGCGGAGAGAGAGTCGATCTTCATCTAATAGAGAGAGAAATGGAAAAGAGAATGAATGAGCGAATAGAGAGAGAAAGAGAGAGAAAATGACGAGTTAGCAACAGTGGGCGCAATAGGCGCCATGTCATTAGTGCTTGCTCTAATGCTTCGAAGCATTTTTGTTTGTTTGGCTGTGTTGAATATCTTATGCGGCAACTAGAGAATTTGGTAAAGCTGAGGTAGCAGCGCAATGACACCTAGTCTAGGTACGTTGTTAGTATTATGGAACTATTCTATTATTCATGTCATTTTTCGTTTACATATGTACTACTCTAATGTTAATTCTCTGTAACATTCAATGATAAGAATGTTTTACTATTTTAAACATTTAGGGGTTATTTAGGGTGTCCTAAATAAGTGTATATTTTGACTTTTTGGACTAAAAAGTTGAGGAAAAAAATATGATTATTTGGGTTAAATTTTTGACTTTTTATTAAAAATTATGTATTAAAAAATTGTATAAATTAATGTGTAAGAGAAGATTTGTTTTTTGGGTTGTACGGCTGTCCTTCGTGCGCAAGTTGAATAGATGGTAAAAGTAATTGTCTACTTTTCAGGCATTTCACTGGACAGTGCTTTTCAGCTGGTGGGGGCCATTACGGGTCCTGTTTTGATAATTTGAACCGTTCAATGTCTAACACTCGTCGAGTACTATATGTCTATAAAAAATCATGTTGATTGGATATCGATAGCTATTTAATCAGAATTATTTTTTTCAACCGTTAACTACAACACCATTTTTTTTTATACAAAACTGATTTGATCATGTAGTTATCGATATCTGATCAACATGGTTTTTTATAGATATATAGTATTCGATGAGTTTTACACATTAAACGGTTCAGATTATCAAAACGGGACCTGTGATAGGCCCCCACAGGCCGAACAACAGTGTGTTAAAATTGCACCCCAACTGTGCAATTTTCCTTTCGAACCGCAGCATAGATCTGACTTATTGTGATTGATAAGTTGTATTTTTGTGTGTAAAATAAATTTTTTAATATTTTTGTTTGGTGAATAGTGATAACTTTTTAACTTTTTGAGTAATTTTTTAATTTTTTGTTTTTTTTGAGACATGCCAAACTTGACCTTAGTCCCTAAGACTCTTCTATCTTGCATTCTTTCATAAATGGTTAAAATAAGTTTTGGAAAAAAATTGTGATTTTTTTTAAATAATGAAGAAAAAAAATACTCCATATCAAGTTTTTTAACTTTTTTTCTCCCTTCTACTTTGGATAAATTGAAGGAAAAGGATGAATCAAACTATCGAGTTGTTAATAACATGACTGACTCAGTGATTAATTGTATGTATATATATATATTATGGGTTTTAATTGTATATATAACTGTCGATTTTTACATGTATTTCTATAAATAATTATGGGTGAATTACACTTTACTCCTTAACTTTTCAATTGCAACAAATTTGACATTGAATTTGAATATTGTTTCAAATAAGGATAATTGAATATACCATTGCTTAATTTCAAGGATAAAATTATCAATTTGATAAAATATAAATTAATTTAACAAAAATAAATGTCAAAAAAATATTATTGAATTTTTTTAAATTATTTCTACCCATCAAAGATAAAATTATGTAAAATTAATAAATCTTTAAGACATTTATTTATTTATTTATTACCAAATTAATCTTTATTATGTGTTTAGATGATGATTATGTAATGGGTGATTGTTAGGATTTCAACGTATAATCGATATAGTGTTTTGGGAAGTTAGTAAAAAGTTGGCTTTTGACTTTTTACCAAGTTTTTTAACTTTTTAAAAAGTGATTTGAGAAGTTGGTAAAAACCTGATTTTTGGCTTTTTAGTTTAATATTTGTTTATGGTGCCAAATCAAATTAAAATGGCCAAAATACCCTTACCCAACATAAGAAATTTATTTTTTAATTTTTTTGTCATAGGCCCCAATTTGTAATTTCACACTTGCGTTTTTATAACTCCCCAAACCAATTTTGTTGCGTTTTTGCCACTTGCGTTTTTGAACCAAAGATAAAAAACGTGGCCTTTTATTTTGGTTCCCAAAACGGCACTTAATATATAAAATGTTTTTAATTTTGGATTGTTTGATTTAATTGATTACCTTAACAATGATATCAAAGTTGTTGTCATATTTGACTTTTAGAAAAATATAAACTAATTTAATAAAAATAAAAATAACCACACATTACATGAACATCATCCAAACACATAGTAAAAATTAATTTGGTAAAATAAATAAATAAATAAATGTCTAACAGATTTATTAATTTTACATAATTTTTTCTTTAGTGGGTAGAAATAATTTTAAAAAATTTAAAAATATTTTTTTGACATTTATTTTTATCAAATTAATTTATATTTTTATCAAATTGACCATTTTGCTCTTGAAATTAAACAATATTATCTTCAATTGTCCTTATTTGAAATAAAATTTAAAGTTTAAAGTCAAATGTGTCATAATTAAAAAATCATAGACCACAAACCCTCAACTATAGAGATCGTTAAAGTAATTCACTCAATAATTATTAATTAATACTCTAAGACCATCTCCAACGATGAACCAAAGTTGGCATCAGATTCAAAATTTGGTGAAAAAAGTACTTTTTGGTGCTCCAACCGTTGCACCAAATTGATATCAAAATGAGAATTTAGCAAAAAAAGCATTAAACTGAGAACAAGGTAGAGATTTTACCAAATCACTGTTCCTGACCGTTGGAAAAGCTGCACCGGTCAACCAGCCGGTTGTCCGGCCGGTTGACCGGTCAACCGGTTCCCTTTCAGATAACTAGGTTCAAACAAGTCAAAAAATTCAAACAAATTTTAAAAAAAAAATTAAATCTTACCGGTCAACCGGCCGGTCGACCCTTCAAATTGAGGCTGAATCAAAGAAACAGCTTGAGCTAATACTAGTGTTGCACTATATTCATTCAATTTCCTTGAAAGTAGGGCCCACAGAGAACATCTACAAAAATGAGGACCAGGAGGAATCATCTTGATACCCTTGAAAGCAGGGCCCACAGAGAACATCTGCAAAAATGAAAATTGAACAATTACGCAGACGAAACAAGCAAGTTTGATTTCATAGTGTTTTAACTTTCTCGGAAGCCTAACGGAAGTTTGATTTTTGAAATATGATTCATTGATTTCAATTGGGGTTTTCATGAAATCTTATCACATTTATTTTTGGTATCTTTTTGAAGAGGAGAAGAAATGGTGATTCAAAAAAAAATAAAATAATGGCCTTATCGGTTGACCAACCGGTTCATCCTCCCCTTTTGATATTCACCGTTGGAACAAGCCATATCAAATTGGGAAAATAGTGATTTTTTACTCAAATTTGATGAAAAGTTTAGTGAACCGTTGGAGATGCTCTAAACACACTATATCTAATTTTGAAATCAAAATTAATTTACGTGAGTGGTAGTTTCAAAATTCAAATCAATTAAATCCAAAGAAGTTGGTGGAGCAACAAAAAATTAAAAATAAGACTAAAATAAAAGTAAAATGAAAATTTCACATAAAAAGTTAGAAAATCACATCAACTTTTCACCTTTTTTTATGCAACTACAAAAGCAGCAAAAAAAAAAAATAAATAAATAAAAATAATTTTCAAACATAACTTTTTTTCACCTCTTAAAAAAATTAAGAAACTATTAAAAAAATATCTTCCTAGATTACATCTCGCGGTTTTTTTTTTTTTTTTGGTTGAATGTGGGTGAATTAATTTGACATAATTTACCACCCCTCCTCCTCCACACACCCGAAAAAAAAAAAAAAAAAAAAAAAAAAAAAAAAAAAAAAAAAAAAAAACAGGGATAAACCAAATGCACTCTCACTTTAAGTCATTTAAATTTAAGTTTACTTAGTAAAACCATTTGGGCATAGGGGAAGATTAATTTATTAATAACCCAACCTACAACCATGGATCCTAATCAATATTATTTTAGTACTTAATCAAAAACCACTGTGAGTTATAATTAACTTTGATTTAATAATTTATTATTCTCATAACTACAATAAATCAAAATGACCCATAATTAACACCACAATAATTCAAAAATAACATCAATTAATATAAATCATAACATACATATGATATGGGCCTAAAATGAAATATATATTATTGCATGAGTCATATACATATATACATGCCATTCATTAGCTGTTTTGATTGTAGAAAATTATAAGGCAAATTGAAACCAAGTAGACTCTTGTTTTGGACGCAAATATTGCTTTTGGGAGTGGTACACAACAGCAAGCATTGTCATATTAAGTGGCACACTATTTTTTTGGGCACTGGTTTGTGGTAGGCCTTTAGGAACTCCATTTAGTGGAGTTTATTAAAAAATAATAATAATCAATATTGATAAACAACAACAATCATTGTGAAAAGCGATTCATGATTCTTTCTACTATTGAAACACCCTTATTAAAATAAAAAATAAAAATTAATTATAATTGGGTAATGCCCTAAAATTTTCAGTATCTGTATATATAGAAATTGAGGTTCTATCTTTATCCAACATTGGATGCCTTGGAGATGATGTAACAACAACGTTTGGTTTGAGTTTTCTGAATTAAGTTTTTAGAAAATTGAATTTTTTTATTTTTAGTGAATATTTTTAAAATTTTAAACATTTTTTTTTACTTTTTTAGATGTACCTTACTTAAATGTATCTAAAAAGTAAAAAAATTGTGAAAAAATATTTTAAAAAATTAATAAATACATAAAAATACAAAATATGTACTGAATTGTTGTATTTTTTTTTTGTATTTTTGATATTTAGTGAATTTTTAAAATATTTTTTTACAATTTTTTTACTTTTTAGGTGTATTTATGTTAGATGTGTCTAAAAAGTAAAAAAATTACTTAAAATATTAAAAAAAACAGTAAAAACAAAAAAACACGAAAAATAAGAAAGTAGAATTTCCTGAAAAGTATTTTTTAAAAAATGAAAACCGAGACAA